ATGCTTCTTAAAAATTTCTTAGTCGGACGTTGGTCCTGGGCCTGGATTCAAGGTCCTTGTCCAGGACATCCCAGGTCTTATACTGTACATGGAAGCGATCACCCCCCGCGCAGAGCCTATTTGCCTTGCCTGCCGGGACACTCGGCCTCAAGGCCGGAGGTGCTGCGGAGGCCGCACGGCTATACCTTCAGCCGTGCAATATCGTGAAGGGGTAGACCCTCTCGATACTTCGAGTTTGACACTTGAATGTCATAAGTGGTACTCGGATCCACGAGGAACTGCTCGATTATGGGCACTACATAGTACGCCATCATTGCGACTGCTTGCCTAAACCTGCATTGCGAGTCGATATGAGTTAGCCCCGCGTCCGCAAGGTTTTATACTAAGTCTCGTGCGCGACGACTATCTGATTTCCGTGAAAAAGAGTTATGAATGACTACTAAGGGACTAAGAGTGTTATCGCGTTGTTTGTTCTGTGTCGTTTTCTGTATGTGTATGCGCGTGTGTGAGTTTATTTTTATGTTCTTTAGAGTAGCGTGCGCGTGGTGTGTGGGATGGGTCCTAGTCGACCCACGACGAGTCGCAGTCGAAACCTCAACCCCCCAAGATGTTGATTCGCGTGCGGGTCCGATAGAGGCGTAAAACCGCGCGTACCCCCTATGCTACAACATACGAAAAACGTCATCGGCTAGTCCACCTCTCCGATTGCAACTGATTAATTTTCGTAGTATGAACTGGTAGCTCGGCGTGGATATGCCCACCGAAGGGAGGTGACAACTTCACGTAAGCTAGAGGTAAGTCGTGCCTCGCGTAGGCCCTATCCTGTCGTAGGGGCTCGCGAGAGGTATGGCTGGCGCACTCGGCCGGAGCGGCTTGTGGAAGCTCCATGTGTATTCGCAACGAGGATCAGATCAACTCCTGCGTGACGCGGCCGAGAGGGTCCCGCCCCGCTTCGCGCAGTGCCATGCGGTGCCGGACCGATGCGCTCGACGATGTTATGTTTGTTCACCTATGGATGGCGAACTGATGGTGCTCTATGATAACTGGATGAGAGTGAAATTCACAAACGTCCATTCAACACTGTAACCACCGGACAAATCGAACCACCAGTTACTGACTCCATCAGTTTCAGTGTTGTGCTGTCTTGCTTGCTTCTCCCGGGGTAGGACACATGCGGGATTAGCTTCCCGCTACCTGCCGGTTAGATGGGCTGAGGATGTATCTCGTGCAACGAGTGGCAAGTTAGTTAAGGAAGGCAAGAGAAATCACAAACGTCCTTTCAACATTGTAACCACCGGATGCATGGTTGAGTAGATGTGTTGTTGGACAGTATCCTCTCTTCGGTTGTTGAATTGAGGATATGTTGGACCTAGAACGTAACATTACTTGATTGCGCAGCCCCCTTCTAAATTTTAGAGGTGAAGGTATTAAAGGGAGGAGGAGGCCTCGTGAAATGGAAAGGATTAAGATATTAATAAGGAAAGGGTTCTGGTCGCAGAAAAGAGTTATTAATACTCATGGTTATCTTTCACTCTACTGTGGGGTTTGTAACTTCATCATCCCATGTTTTCTATTATTGCAGAGAAAAGATCCCTTCGGTTGGTATCGTGCAGTGAATTGGAAGCTGCTCAAAAGCAAGTATGGTTCATCTGTGGTTCATCATGGACGAGAAGTTGAATTATTTAAAAGATCTAAGGGTTAGAGTGCTGGTCTGTCAGACCAGAAATCGCAGGTTCAAATGGCTGAGGGGATGGAGGCATTGGTTTCTAAACCCACGTACACCAAGATTGTAACATGGGTTCAAATCCCATTTCCTTCATTCCGTTGGGGGTATAGTTCAAGTGGAAGAACGCATGTTTTGCCTAAAACCTTTCTGTTGTTGCTCCTGGCCACTATCTCGGCGCTATCTCTTCTTGTCTCCTTTCGCCGTCATTTGTGCTCTCTCGCTATCTTGCACTGAAAACGGCTCTGGCGGATTTGTTGGCAAATCCACGGCTCCAGGGTGGAATTTCTCGTCGTTGGTGGCATCCTTTTCTGCCATCAGATGTTTTTATTCTGAGAAGCGTTCAAGATTTTCTCTTCAACTTATTATGTCTGGTGGCATATTGATGGGCCGGGCTGATGTTAGGAAGCAGCTGCTTGTGCAGATCACGTACAGCATGCAATTGAGTAAGCCGGATGGGACTTTCTCCAAGTCACTGATCATGAGATCAGATGTGCCGGAGATTATGTAGACTGCTTTTGCTACAGTTTAGTGATTCTGTGAAGATGGATTTCGCTGTGCCGGAGATTTCGAGGAACGATCTTGTGGGATGTGCACGTGAAGTAACCAGAGACCTTAGCGGATCTTGCACTGTGCAGAATAAGTTGAGAGTGTAGAACGAAGTTTAAAGGACGGACTAAGGTTCTGATCGATCATAATCCCAGAGACGTTGGTGTGTTGTCCAACAAATCATCGACAAGGGATGGAAAATCTGTTTTGGAGTAGTCCAGGGTTTCCTCTAATTAAAGAAGAAGAGGGGATCATTGTTGGGAATGGTAAAGAAAGATGGGGACGCTTCCCCGCATGCCTACAATTAGTGGTAGGGGTAGGTAGTGTGAGGTGAAATTGAGATAAGAATAAATATAGCTTGAAGGATGCAACTGAGTGGTCGCAATACTCCCCAACTGAATGTTCTGCTAGAACATGAAACCGTACGCCGTCGTATGTTTTGTCTGTGTGCACGTGGTGAGTAGCGGACCGAGGCACTTAGGGCCGCTATACGTATTCCGAAGGGAGGGAGAAAAATCAAAAACGAATTACGTGCAGAGAGCGACTGACAGGGCCTAGCTGAGTAAGTGACCAATAACTGCTAAAGAGTCCTGGATTCGAATCCAAACCACATTGGTGGCCCACTCGTGCTGATCTGCGTCCTACAAATTCCGGAAGGGGTCAACCAGATGGTATTGGACTTGCCGAAGCGGTCTCATCTCAATCTTCGCAGCACTCAAACGCTGATGGAATGCCTTAGTGGCGTTAATGGGAATTTGAAGAAAGGAAAAGCTTGGGTCTCTGCGCCATATGATATCAAAGAGATTTTCTGTAACCTTTTACTCATCCCTCTGTTCTAAATGCCACCGACTTCAACAACTCCCGTGAAGCAAAAGCGGGATACTCGTGAGAAAGAGGGGAGGGTGCGAAGATGCAGAAAGGACGAGTTCAGGACACAGGTGAAACTTTGGGGAATACGTTTTTCCGGGCACGTGAGAAGATGTTGCAACAGTTCATCTGCAGTCCGATGGGTAAACCGTCCATTCCATCGACCGCTTTTGTTTTCTTAGAACATACTCAGTTGCGATTTGTGAATTGATTGGATTTAGATCGGATGTTTTGGTGCATGGCAAAAACACGGTCGATTGATGATGTCTCCATTTTTGTCAAGTTTCGTTTGGGAGAAAGCGAGTCGATCCGGAAGACTTCCGAGTTGATGTTAGGGCGAGCCGATCCGGAAGGCTTCCGAGCTAAAGAGCGAGTAGATCGTGGGTTGTGGTCAAGCACTCTGGTTGGCTTCTCGGGGTGCGCTGCCAAGCGATTCACGAGAATCAGATCTGATTGTTCTGAAAGGAATTCAGAAGTCGGAGACGGAAGCTGGCCGTTGTTGGTTCGTTCCTTCACAAGGACAAAAGATACATATACTGGCACAAGATATGGCGTTTTCTTTTGCACTCGAGACCGAGTTAACGTTGAGAGGATCTGAGTATATGACTTAGGGCCCACTACCCTCGATTATATTCACTTTTCACCCTCGATTACGAAGATAAACAGTCAGCAATGAACAATAGGGGCTAGAGGGATCTGGCCCTTACTAGCTTCTGCACTGATAAAATTTCCAAGAACGTTCAAGGGCCTTGGGAGTTTTGACTCGGCCTTGAGCGTTTTCCGAAAACGCTGGAGGCTCGAAAATGTGGAGACGTTTTCGGAACGCGGAGGTATTGGGCTAGAGGCCCGAAAACATGGAGGTCTGTCGATGGTGTTGTGTCCGTCTCTCTCTCCCTTTCGCTGCGTATTTCGTCTTGCATGTGAGTTCGTCGGTGTATGATAACAGGATAAAAGTGAAATTGACAAACATTAGCAGCTCTGATTTCAGAGCGCAGGGTGTCGTCGGGCGTTTCCACGCGCACCCGCCAGTTTGGCCTCGGCAAGGCTTCAATCTACCGAGGGCGGGCACGTATGCGACGCCAGGTAAGGGAGCGCGAACTTTCCGCTCTCGTTGTACCGGAACAAACGGACATGACCGCCATCGCCACGACCAATCAACGCTTTAAGGATCAGCCAGGAACAATCAACGCTTTCAAGGGTCAGCCAAGATGGGATATCCGGGAAATGATACATGTAGTCACATTTCGCAGTTAAACCGTTACGTGCGGAAGCGCTCACCCAGCACGATGAAGAGACATGGTGACTTCAGGCTAACATATCGTTGGACAGAGGAGAGGAGCGTTTGGTGGGCGAAGTCTCCGTTCTCCAATTGCAAGGTGTTTGGAAAGTGGCTCTTCTACGCGCTAATGAAATTGCAGAGGATCCAAAGTATGCGCGCATTTAATACCAAGACTTCCCTCGTCATCTAAAAAACCCATAACTTCCCACGTTTCTTCTCATTTCACATTTTGCGTTCATTTCCCTTTGCCTGACTGTATCTCGTCTCAATGCAGGCATAACTGCTGAATTAGAGGATTGCGACCCAATCCAGGCACGTCTACTGGCATTTAGTTTTCCTCACGATATGTCCACTTCGTTCTCCAACAATCGGCAGCTTTTCTTTTCCTCGGCGGTTCGAAAGCTCTTCCAAATTCTACCATGCCCATCCTTATCATAAGAGTTGACGTTTCTGCGTTTCAAAGAGAACACATCACTTCGATAAGCGTATTCTAGTGGGCACAGAGTTGACATTTCTGCGTTTCAAAGAGAACACACTCTCGTTTCCTCGGATATCTCTTACTGATGTTCACGCTAGGTTGAGTCGACAATGAGCCATTTTCAGCATCGCTTATCGAATCGTCCAACAACAGAATTTTTTTACTACACCTTCAAGGACACCGCGTACGCGAAACAACCCCCTTATAGAGCTACATTAAGTAGTTTCGAGAAATGAGCGGTTAGATCAGATCCCGCTAGATCAAAGCCGTAACAAGATAACAGCATTAAATAGCAGATCCAAGAAGAGGAGCATTAAATAGCTGATACAAGACGAGAAGAGCATTAAATAGCAGATGACAGCGGGTGTTGTATTCCAATGCGAAAAAACTAACATTCGCCGATATTGTCATGGGGTCTTCGGAAGAACACCAATGCAACGACAAGGGTTTTTACCCACCAGCGCCCATCCCCAGCTTCCCCGATGCGACCAGGTACAAGGCGATACAAGGCGATATGCTCCGCTAGATCTTCGGAAGAACACCAATGCGACCAGGTACCATGTCGATGTCCCCATACAAGGGCGTTGCGTCATTACGAAACAAACCATCCCTTGCGGGCTGCAAGGCGATTTGCTGTGCGCGGCTTATGTCAGATCCGAAATGTGAGAACAAGAAATCAAATCATTGCCCTGACAAGAAACGTAAAATAACAGATGACTGCGGGCATTGTCCTCCGACCGAGTAACAAGAATTTTCGCTGAGATTGTAATTGGACCTTCGAAAGAAGAGCAATACAACACGGATTTTCCCACCAGTGCTCATCCCCAGATTGCCCCTGTAGTAACCAAGTCCATCAAGCCCATAGCAGGACGTTGCGTCATCATTACAAACAGACTATCCCTTGGTGCTTCAAAGGCAAGGTGCTGCCTGTGGCTAACGTCAGATCCAAAAAATTGAAAAACGAGAGAACCCGAATGGCGAGATGCAGGTCCAAAGATTGTGGCCGTCCTCTGTTTTTTGGTGCCAAGGGTTACATACGTGGATTTGTTCGCGTACAGTTATTTAACCCTTGGAATAAGACTTGGACCTCAGAGGACGGCCCACCCACAAGCATTCATCCCTAGCCTATAACGCTTGGAAGACATCAGTTACGCAATGCACCTTGTGGCTAACAATTGCATTCCGGGATTGACATTAGAGTGTTCAGCTTTTCTCCCACCAGTCCCACTGATACACAACATAATATGCCGACTCATGCCACAAATGAAATGTTACGGTAGACTGTCCAAGAATAGGAAGGGAGCTATTTTCTGCATGAGATAATGATACTGCATAATAACCTGCCTGAGTCAGTTTTTCAAAAAGCAGAGCATTATCCGAAGAGAGACTTGTACACAGGCAACTTGCAAAAGAAAGGAATACATCATTATTGCCATGTCATTAAGAAAATCAGGCCATTACCCTCTGAGAGGGAGCAGGGACGAATTAGGTGTGGTTACTGCGAAGGAATAAAGAGGGCACGAGTGTGGGGGTAACCTCGAAAGAGAAGAGAAACTAGCCATCAAAAGCAAGAATAGGCCAAGCCAAAGCAAAAAAGTTATTTGCATGCCCCCTCCGTCCCGCGCATGTAGCCACCGAGTCCCCTTGAGGATATCTCCCAGCTCGATGCAGACAAGATCGGTGTTCGTCCACGAGAGACTGGACCCCCGAGTTTCCACTTCACATCGCTAAAGATCCCACAAGTTCTGAGATCTCTAATCTTCTGTGCTGATGAGATGAGTGGATTGATAACTAAAATATTTATCGTTATAAGGGAGCCGCATAGACAGTCGCCTATGCTTCTTCTCCCTCCTCTTCCTCGAATTCTCCCTCCTCTTCGGCACTTGCGTCTTGGTATTGCTGGTACTCCGACACGAGATCATTCATGTTCGATTCCGCCTCCGTGAACTCCATCTCGTCCATTCCCTCTCCTGTGTACCAGTGGAGGAAAGCCTTTCGCCGAAACATAGCCGTAAACTGCTCACTCACGCGCTTGAACATCTCTTGAATGGATGTTGAGTTGCCAATGAAAGTAGAGGACATTTTCAGACCCTTCGGGGGAATGTCGCAAACGCTGGACTTGACGTTATTCGGAATCCACTCCACAAAGTATGAGGAGTTCTTGTTCTGCACGTTGATCATTTGCTCGTCCACCTCCTTGGTGCTCATTCGCCCACGGAACATAGCGGACGCAGTGAGATATCTGCCGTGGCGAGGGTCAGCCGCACACATCATGTTCTTGGCGTCCCACATCTGCTGAGTCAGCTCTGGGACTGTCAAGGCACGGTACTGCTGAGAACCTCGCGACGTCAATGGCGCGAACCCTACCATAAAGAAGTGGAGACGGGGAAAGGGGATCAAGTTCACGGCCAGCTTTCGTAGATCCGAGTTCAGCTGTCCTGGGAAGCGGAGGCAGCAAGTCACACCACTCATCGTCGCAGAAATCAAATGATTCAAGTCTCCGACTGCAAAATACACAGCGTAGGCAACACAGCAAAACATCAATGTTAGGAAACCCCAGGTTCAGCAAGCCAATCAATAACTGGGAAAAGCCACTTAAGGTACTACAAGCCCTGAAACGACCCAGACGTACTCCACGAGAGTCGGGAGAAATCATAGGTCTTGTCATCCATCATACACACATTCTACCTATAGATTCTCGATCAACCACACATTTGCTTTCGAAATTTTAATTAGTCACTTAGTCACGCCTCAAAGGTGCCAATAGACTCACCTCAGAGTTTAACGGTCACATCCTTGTGTTACGATTGGACAATTACGACAATAATGACGCACTCAAACTCGTGTGTAAGGGGTATCCCAACCCTTCGCGATCGCTACTGGCCCCTGTGAATACCAAAAGCGACCAGAGCCCCACCGAGGCATTCGCAGCAGCAACAGTTCTGTTGACTTCATCGCGATTCCGACGGACCACAGCGAGGGACATTGGCGCACGCTGGGTTAAAGAAAGACGTAAAAAGACGAATCAAGGCACTTCAAGCGACAGACTTGGACGTGCACGCTGGGTTAAAGAAAGACGTAAAAAGACGAATCAAGGCACTTCAAGCGACAGACTTGGACCAGCAGAAACAAAGACCTTTGGACAAAGACTCAAGCGAAGTTCTAAACAAAGCTGTAAACCCCAACTCCCACTACCAGCTGACGAAAGCTTGAACCCCAGCAGAAAGACGTCAACGGACATGCAAGTGAATGATCAATGCAAAAATCACGTTTACAAGAACACAAACTCCCACTACCAGCAAAGTGAACTACAAAAGCCCCGAAAGAGTGGACTTACACGTAGGAGTCGTGAGCTTCAGCGTTCTGAAACAGATATCGTACAATGCCTCGTTATCAAGAACCATACATTCATCCGCGTTCTCGACAAGCTGATGTACGGACAAGGTAGCGTTGTATGGCTCGACAACAGTGTCGGACACCTTCGGAGACGGGAATACGGAGAACGTCAACATCATTCTGTCTGGGTACTCCTCTCGAATCTTCGAGATCAACAGCGTTCCCATTCCCGATCCGGTCCCCCCTCCAAGCGAATGGCATACTTGGAAACCTGAAATCAACACCAAGCAAGAGAAACAAACATAGACCAAAGAACGTACAAAGCTCGTTAGGCAAATCGAAACGCGCAAACACTTACAGCCACATGTCCATTTACTCCTAAATAAGAAGCTTCACAGCTTCGCCTATCTGCTCCGATCATCTCACCTTCCCTTTTTTTTGGGTACAAAAAGACGCTGCGCTCCGTTTAGAAGGGCTTGATGCCGGCCAGGTCATGACTGCAGCTTTCTGATCCAAACAGGATAAACAGACCCGTTCGACACTTAAACCATGATTTTCAAACATATCACGAGAATGCGCGTTGAGCAAGATTGCCAGACAACAGACAACGAAGAGACAGGTGGAGTGGTTCCCACTTAAGAACAAGCGAGCCCAATCGACGGTGAGACTTTTCAGATAAGACAACTCTTTCATCAGATAAGCTTTCTCCGTCGCGCCTCGTCGCACCTCATTGCACCCATATCGCCAACAACGGACTGATCACGCCCTGCTGCGTCGTCGAGAAACATTCACAACGTATTACAGTGGTGAATATTTGACTCGTACACCCGCAACATAGGATAAGATCGGGGTCTTGGGAGAATACTTCACGTAACTTCACAATTATCTTTTGCCTGCCACGAGCAGCTTGTCTAAATATCTGGACTCCCGTGCAATGTAATCACAGCTCAATGAAAAGACTCGTGCCAAGTGAGAGACCCTCGACGAAAATAACAACAATATTAAGACGTCGAAAAGGCCTTCGACAGCGAGGAATACCATGACGCAACTTTCGCTTCACAGACTATAAATACTTACAGAGAAATCCAACTGTCTTCAAAAGCTATGACGTCGAAAAGTCCTTCAAAAGCGAGGAATACCATGACGCCAAATCACGTCTTCAAGACTACCTGTCCTTCAGAAATCAACATGATAGGTCGTTTCAGATTCACTAAAGAAGTTCGTCTCAAGCTCATTTTCGATCGGCCACGACAATGCAATCCTTCTTAATAGAAGTTCTAATCATTGCGTAAACATACTACTCTATCAATGGCTATTTTTGTCCTCCGAAGCACGACATATTATAAGTACCTTTCCGTTGTCACCGTTTGACAACATCCGAGCAGGGTACCTTTCGAAAGGTTCCTTGCTAAACGTGCGAAGGAAATTCAGAAGAACACACCCGTTCGGAACGACTTCAAGACTTCAACTTGCGAAGAAGGGTCAGTAAAACACACCCGTTCGGAACGAGGTCAAAGTTGACTTCTCTCACGCGTCCCCACTATGTCCCATTTCAAACCGATGCGGTGAATGCGAATATTATTTGGTTTGACCAGATCGCGGAATCCTATTAGCTACTTCACGAAACATCTGACATTCTATGTTCCCAATTGTGCTCAGATTCTATTGAACGTGACCCGACAGGTTCTTGACAACACCAATCGATCTTTATACTCTGAATCTCTCAAACGTAACACGACAGGTTCTGGACAACCCATACGATCTCTTGCTGAGCTGCAGGAAAAGCCGTTTCGTCATTTCCAAGATACAACTCGCTAACACTAAAAACAACAGCCGTTTCATCATTTCCAGGAAAAGCCGACAGGTTCATTAACAAACCTCGACATCTCCGTTCCCAACACAGCTTGAGCCACCAAATATTCAAAAATTCAAATCGTAAAGCAACGCGAATCCGTCAATCACATCACGCTCAAAGTCTTCGCTATGCCCCAGATCCGGTCCCGAACCTTCTACTGTAATAAGACTGGACTAAAACTTGAATGGCGAAGTTCATGTGCTGCCAACGGACAAACTGACCTCATCAAACACTTAAACGTAGAGCAGAAACCCGCCAGCAAAGTTCAAGCAAACACTATCATTCAATCAAAGCCCGACCCGATTCGTCCGTTCCAAAGCGACGGCTCGTGTTATAACGTGTCGAGATTGTCTGCCGCTTCAGACCGTAATCCCGCCCGTCGATTCCTAGGCGACATGCCGTCTTGTCTACGGTTGCATTCTGTCATCCAGTCCGTTGATTGCTAGGCAACATCCCTTCCTGTTCAATGCTGCATCCCGTCCGTCACTTCTAGACACGGATGGCGTCCGTTCGTCCGTCGAAAGCTCGCATCCACGCCGTTCGCTTCAGTCTGGCATCCGTCTTGAAAAGGCGTGAACCCTTCAGTCCCTCAATTCAAAGCTGAAACGGCTTCCACCCCGTTCGCTTGAGTCTGGCATCCGTCAGGAAAAAGGCGTGAACCCTTAGGTCCCTCTATTCAAAGGTGAGACGGCTTCTGTCCGTTCGAATGCGTGCTGCGATCCGTTTTTCGATCTCCATTATGCTTTCACGAGTAAGGTCTTCAGATCAGATGGCCATATTTCTTCCAAGACCATGTCCTAAACATTCTTTCGTTTCGAAGCCATAACATCCTCCTACCTAAGTTCCATACGCTCGACCGTAGCTGTGTCACCCTCAAGATCGGACTCTGCATATCACGTCTGATCTCCCATCAGAATCTGTTTGTCAAGAGGTTGTCAATCCCATTCGTTAGACCATGCAGCTCCTGTATTTTATTTGTCAGTCAATCCGATCTGACTAATCGCCCCCCGCCGAGACTACCAACCCCCCCCCGGCGCCTTCAACCCCGGGTCAATCTATCCGACTCTACGGGTGTATCTATCCATCGGTTCTATCAGTTGGTCTACCAGTTCCGGATACGCGCTCTTCCGTGTTCCTTCCAGAACTAAGGTTCCATCCGGCTCCTAATACGGGATTGCGCGGGGGGAAGCGGGAGATGTGTTCCACTCAGAACGCGTCTTTCCCTTAGATTCCTATTACCACACGCCCTGTATAGATTGTTTCTTCATACCAATGAACTCTACACGGAAGCATTCAAAGCGTCTATGTCAGACCCCGTCCTTTCGCTCGACTTTCACTATACGCGTGAACCTACTACCTACAAGTTGACCCATTCATTACCATAATCTGAAACATTCGTTGCCTGCACGCTCGGGTGAATAAATCCGAGACCGCTCGGAACACTGAGTCCCCAACTAGCCCAAAACGCGATTGTCCGTCCCTCGCTCAATTTCAGATCGTCTCCGAAATAGCATTAATTTCCATCCCATTCGAAGGGCTTCTTCCCTAGTACCGATCACAGAAACCATGAGAGAAAATCAAAGCTGGTAAAAATCCCTGAAAAGATCAACCGTAACACATCCGAAATCATATTCAGCACGATGTATCGAAAACAACCTGATACATGGCAAATACAAGGCAAAGAAACACGTACGATCACGTCAGCCTAAGCATTTCTAAAGTATGAGCATTGCTAACAAGAGACTGCTCGTCAGTGCAGAAAGACCATCATAGCAAGAAAATCGATTACACTCCAAAACGGGCCACCATAAGGTAAGAACGCAAGCAGTAACGACATCGTAATACAGTACGCATTGAGACAAAAACAAGGGACACTACGGGACGAACAAGAAGAAAGTCAACGCGCGGACAAAAACAAGGGACACTACGGGACGAACAAGAAGAGAGCAACAGGAACAAAACCGCAGGCACAGTTGCATCCCGAAGTCCAGAAGACTTGGAAACCCACGGACAGCTCAAAGTAGACAAGGACGTAAAAGACTGCCCGCGAAGTATGGAAGCGACGGAAACCAGCACAGCACAAACGAGCCGCTTTGCTACACCAAAAGTTGAAGAGTTGTCCTATCAACGACCTGAGCAGTAGAATTCTGTCTGGCGGACCTATAGTCAAGCGCGCGAAAATTTTGAAAACTCGGAGCGCACAAGCGTAATCTGAATCTTCATACAAACAACACTTCTACCTCAGCAAACGGCAAGCAAACAGACAAAGACAGATACTACCTTGGAGACAATCACAGCTTTCAGCCTCTTTGCGAACGACGTCCAATACGGAATCGATCAGCTCCGCGCCCTCGGTGTAGTGTCCCTTGGCCCAGTTATTTCCTGCACCCGTCTGACCAAATACAAAGTTGTCTGGCCGAAAGATCTGCCCGTACGGGCCTGACCTAACGCTGTCCATGGTTCCTGGTTCAAGATCCATCAGCACGGCCCTTGGAACGTACCGCCCACCGCTGGCCTCGTTGTAATACACATTGATTCGCTCAAGCTGCAGGTCAGAATCGCCATGATACGTTCCAGTGGGGTCGATGCCATGTTCATCGCATACAACCTCCCAGAACTTCGCCCCGATCTGGTTTCCGCACTGCCCTCCCTGGATGTGAAGAATCTCACGCATTTTGGCGGACGGACTGACTTTCGAAGATCAAAGAAGAAACTAGACGAAACAGTGAGACCAGAAAAGAAGAAAAGAACCAGCAAGATACAGTGGCAAGAGGAGGCGGTGAGAGAGATCAGGGTTCAAAGCATTCAAGACTCGGAAAACAGCTCCCAGCTCGAAAGGACAGAACGCGTGGCAGGAGAGAAGCGCCGCCGGCGGCGACAACAATTTCGCGAAGAGGAAGAGAGAGGGACGAAGCTCGAACGCGGAGGGAGGGCGAGGCTGGCAAGAAAGAGAAGTGCGGGGGCCGCGAAGGCGACAAAGAAGAAGCTGCGCCAGCCCAGAGGTCAGACAAGAGAACCGGAAGAGAACGGCTCCGCGTCGCCAAGAGGCACAGTTGTCCGCGGGCCAAGCATACGCCTTCTCGTTCCCTTCACACAGCGGACCAAAATATCGCTGGAGCTCCGCCGCCCGGCTGGCTGCACACTTCGTGTGAGCCGAGCTTGGATACCCAGTTATGCGGTGGGCGCCGAAATTCAAAAGGCGGGGGACGAATTCGTCCTCCGCCTGATAGCCCTGTCGAGGCAGCTACCAGTAGGCGCGAGCCGCCAGCGCGCCAAGTCGCGACTGCAGGCGGTTACCCGTTGCCCGTCGCCAACAAGGCGCGGAAACGAGGATGACCCGCCAGAACGAAAAGCTGAAGTAGCTGGTCCCCAAGGGTTCTTGGCAGGCGGGGGCTGTGGCTGAATCGTACAGACCTACCGGTCGGTCGTACGAATGTGCAGGTCGGCGGACCAAAAACGCGGGCCCGGCAGGGACCTGTCTCGTGACTGAGGAAATACCTACTGAAATGTACCCGACCGCACTTATGGCTGAACGGCATGCACCTGACCGAAATTACGTCTACAAATCAGCAGAAAAGTCCCGCTGTGAGTACGCTCTGAATAATATGAACCAAGGAGTACGAACGGACGAATCCTTTTACGTATATAGCGGCCAAGTCCGAAAGCAAGTTCGGTGTGCTCGCGCGCGTTCTTGGCGCTTTCAGACCGTGCAGGCGCGAAACAATCCGTCCTTCCAGTTTCCATAAACTCTCACGGTATAGGAGCACGAGGCCGAGTAAGGAGCATTAACAGCAAAAATTCGCCCACAAAACAGCGCAGTGTCACCTTGGTCTTCTTCTACCAACGGATCCCCCTGACCGAGCCACAAGGACTGCCGTACGACGTATCCTACCTGTAGCGGAGCGCCCCCAAAAGAGCGCACTGCAGCCTTGGCCTTCTTCTACCAACGGTACACCTAAACTGCTCGAAGCCCGTAAGAAAAGCGTTATACATCCACTCCGGCCTATACAAAAAAAAAAAGGGCCAAAATACTCGCCGAATGTGCAAAATGGAGCACGTATGTTCTCCAAAAACATAAGAAGATACACCCGCACTTGCTTTTGTTTCGTTTTTACTTTTAATTTATTTTTATTTTTTTATCTAATCTAATATCCAATCTTCTTTTGTATATATTTTACTCATCTATCTCATCGTCTTGCTACTCTATGTATTGCCTACCGCGGGGAACGCAGCCCTAACGTAGCCAAAGCAATGAGACTAGGACCATGCACAAGAAAGAGAGAGAGAGAGAGAGAGAGAGAGAGTTTTGTTCCATTTACTGATATGAGTGAGAGAGAGAGACAGAAAGAGAGATAGAGAGAGAGGGAGGGGGGCGAGAGCTACCAAAAAGAGAGAGAGAGAGAGAGAGAGAGAGAGAGAGAAAGAGAAAGAAAGAGAGCGAGGCTGAATGGCCCTCACTTTTTTGGGGGGTCCGCTTCCACTCGAGGACCAGTCCTTCCTTTTCCCAAAAGTCTCGGTTCTACAAGAGCTAGTTGTAGGTAGTCCGCAATATCTTGAAGGACCGGTCCCCCAAAGAATCCACTTGCATAGTGGTCGCCCCCTGCAAAAAATATGACACCTTTACACAGACACCGAAGTCCACTATACTGCAGCCTTAGGGCTGCGAATAGTACGGGGTTCCCGAAAAAGAAAATGAATATATATATATATACATGGTTACCAGGCCGAACGTTCGGGTGCCCCCAGGCTGACCCCCAAACGTTCGGGCATTCGGGGTCCCGTTCGTAGGCCAAACCTGAAGGAGTTCGACCCCCGCCAAAAATTATTTCGTGGCCTAAAAATATATATTTTTTTTTCATGTTTTTTTGGTAGGCTACCAGGGTGGCCTGGGGTCACTTGCCCGACCGGGCCAAAAAAATAAAAATAAAAATATGATTTTTATTTTTTTTTTTTTAATTTGGTGAAGAATTTCGATGTGATTTTGAGGCAAAAGTTATTCAGTTTATTTTTTTGCATAACATATTTTGTTTTCGAATTTTTTGGAATAACTTTTTTTTTTGGCCGGGACCTTCCCTGGTCCTTGCACGGGCTAGCCACCGGGGACCCGGGCGGTGGCTGGTAGCCTAGTTTTTTTGTAAATTCTTTAGGACATGCGCTACACGGAAGTAAAGTTTCAAGGCATTTTGTCAAGCCAAAACAAAATACAAAATTGTCAAAGATGGCGGTGTTAAAACGTACTCAGCTACTCAATTTTATTTTATTTTTTTTCACTTTTCACTTTTTATTGTGATTTTATTTTAATGCCTCAAATATTTTATTATTTTTGGAAACTTTTGCATGAGTTTTGTATTATGCGAAGTACACATATGTAAAGTTGCAGGGCATTTGGCTATGTAAGGAAAAAAAAAGAAAAATCGTCAAAGATGGCGGTGTCGAAAACGGGTTTGTGCACTCATTAATTTTAATTCTTTAATTTTAATTCTTTAATTTTTTATTATTATTATTTTTTTTAATAATTTATTTTCCTTTTTTTATTTTAAATTTGGTAAGGAATTTGGATGTAATGCTCAGGCAAATGTTTTTCAATTTATTTTTTTGCATTACATGTGTTTCTTACAAGTTTTTTTAAGTTTTTTATTTTTTTATTTTATTTCTTTTTTTGGTCCGCGTTCGACCGTTATCGTACGTTCGGGCGTTTGGGTGGGGGCATTCGGCCCGTCCTTAACACCCTGTATATATATATATAGTTTGTCACAGCCCCTTGTTTGTTGTCCCCTTCTCTCTCTCTGTCTACGGTTTATAGGGCAGTTCTGTTTGTGACGATATATATGTATATATATATATATCGGTGAAACTCCGACGAAACAGTTTGTCACAGCCCCTCGTTTGTTGTCCTTTTCTTTCTCTCTGCCTACGGTTTACCAGGCAGTTCTGTTTGCGACAATATATATATATATACGTGGTTGTCATACCGAACGTTCAGGGGCCCCTTGGGTTACCCCCGAACGTTCGGGCATTCAGGGTCCCATTTGGGGGCCGAACCTGAAGGGGTTCGCCCCCAGCCAAAAATTATTTCGGGACCTAAATATATTGGTTTTTTTTTTTTTTTCAGTTATTTAAGACATGTGCTACACGCATGTAAAGTTTCAAGGCATTTTGCCTAGCCAAAACAAAGTGAAACATCGTCAAAGATGGCGGTGTTAAACCACCATTACACCCGCACCTAAAATCCCAAACCTACCTGCCCAATGCGCGCCACTATTTTCGAGCCTTTTGCGTGAGGGTACTTGCAGTGGGAATTTCGGAAGTGGCAATGGTGTCGTCGGTCTGACTGGGAAAAAAAAAAAAAAAAAAAAAAAAAAAGAGCAATGATGCCGTGAACATCATGTAGGCCATAAGCAAATGGTCACTTTCCAGCAAGGCAGCGCATATCTGATAACTATTACGGGAAGAGAAAAACGTTGTTGTTACTTTTTTTATTCCAGTTTTTTTTTTTTTTTTCTCCTAGCTGTACCAGCAAGGCAACACATATTCCTCTTGCTCAAAATGCACTTCCTGAGGGCATACTCGCACTAACCACGTTGAAATGCATCCAACCACTTTTACGGGCAAAGCGTTGTTGACTTTTTTTTCTTTTTTTCTTGAGAGTCCGATAGTCCCGCTCCCCGTATCCTACGTTTTGTTGAAGTGCCCTCACTGAGGGCAAACTCACACGATTACTCCAAAAAGTGTATCCAACTGCAATCACAGGCTAAAACGTTTTTTTTTTTTTTTTTTTTTTTGAGAATCCGAAAGTCCTGCTCCCCATGTTCTACGTTTTGTTGAAGTGTCATCACTGAGGGCAAACTCGCACGAGTACTCCAAAAAGTGTATCCAACTGTAATCACGGCCAAAGGCTTTTTTTTGGGGGGGGGGGCGTACGAATTGAGATGGGCCAAAAAAATTGAAAACCTTCTAACGCTCCGACCCTGCCCCGAGTCGGCCTTTTACTTTTTGTGGCGACAAGTTATTTTGCTGCAAGGTTGAGGTTGTGTACTTATGGTTTAAAACGTGCTCAGCTACTCAGTTTTTTTTTTTTTTAACTTGTCACTTTTTGTTATGATTTTATTTTGATGCCTCAAATATTTTATTATTTTTTGAAACTTTTTGCATGAGTTTTGTATTGTATGAAGTACACACATGTAAAGTTGCAAGGAGTTTAGCTATGCCAAAATAAAATGAAAAATCGTCAAAGATGACAATCTCGAAAACAGGTTTGTGCACTCATCAATTTTAATTCTCTATTTTTTTATCTATTTTTTTATTAATATTTATTTTTCTTTTTTAATTTGTATTTCAAATTTGGTAAGGAATTTGGATTTTATTTGTTCGCGTTCGCCCAGGGGGGCCCGTACGTTCGAGCATTCGGGTTCGGGCGTTCGGCCCGTCCCGAACGTCGGCCACCCTATATATATATATATATATATATAGTCAAACAAAGTTGCTCATATGTATAGTACGGGTGACAAACCAAACCTGGAACTCTCCCTAGTGCATGGGGAAGGTTTGCACCATAGGAGTGGCGCGTTTGTGATTGTTGATGCCCCTACCGGGAGCTCAAGGGTATGCAACTTGTGGTTTGTTTGTACATGTCATTGGAGAAGGGGAACGGTTTGTGTGTATGTTGTATTGTTCACTATACATAACTCCACAAAGAAGGCATGATTGTGGGTCACCCCACACCACTCTCTCCAAACCATTAATTTCGAGAGGTTGTGCGACGCCACAGCCTCTCAAACTCGGGCTTTAAAGAAAAGGAAAAAAAAAAGTGTCAAAATTTGCATTCAAGAACGCCTCTCAAAATCTTGTTTTCGCCCTCCATGCCAACTACTCGGTTTCAAGAGGTTTCACGTCGTGCCTCGAAGGACTCTCCAGGAGTTTTTAATTTCGAGAGGTTAGATTTTTAAGAGTCGTGTGGTGAAACGACCGAAACTTTAAGAGAACGACCTCTCAAAATGAACTGACAACGGAAAAAAAAAATCCATGTTTCAAGAGTGGGGTAGCAAGACCCTGTATGTGTTGTGTGTGTGTTCATGTTTGTATGTTGTCATATTCGCTATACACAACAAAAACATGATCAACTATGCCA